TTCGTCAGAGAGCGTGCTACCAGCCGGTGGCGCAATGAAGATTTTAAGATAGCAGCTTTATTTCGGGACTAATTTGTTACAATGAGCTCCACAGCCCCGCATGCGGTTTGGGTAAAAACCCACATATACTCCTGTCTTGTCCAATTCACATTAGACATCGTATTAGCGCCACGAGTCAAGTACAGCCCGATTTCAGAATAGCGAGAATAAGCAGCATTTCAACAATCTATTCTGAATTCGGATGTTTCGTGTCCTCTCATCAGCTGTTGACAGACAATCAGTGGAACTACTGCTATGTAACACAAAGGTAAAACGAGGTGGAAAATTGTCCGGTTTAAATGAAGCTAATCGATCACGCCTCACTAGGGTAAAGCTAGGGTAGTCAGAGATTCCGTCTGCTTACATAATTTGGGCTTCATCCAACGGTTCGCTAAGGCCTCTGCAAACTGAAGCAGACAGGTAGTGCTTTGCCGCCTAATGATCCTGAATGACCCACGTGGATGTTGGCGAGTAGTGCAATCACATATGTTCCGGGCAACAGAGCTAGCGGGCTACTTCGGGCGGTCTGCCACTATGTTACGCGTGACATGCTCTGAAATCCTTTTCTCAGTTCAGCCCATATACTTGCTCCCGCAAGTACTATGAAAATAATAAATACAAGTGGCGGTTATTTTAGTGTCTGGCTTGTCCAGGTTGAATTTGCAGACCAACTTCCTAACATGGTGCAGTAGTACTAGCTCGGCCGCATAATAACATCTCTTAATGGACTGACAGAGACGATACCGAAATCGCCTTATTATACATCACAAGCGTGCATGCCGAGATGGGTATACTGGCAGCGACCACTGTGGTCTTTTTCATATGTCAATATTGAACAAACAGAATTATGTCATCAAGATGAGCAAATCCCCGGTGAATACGGCTTGCGTTTATAAACTGTTCGCTTATAATAATCCCGCAGAAAAACTCCAACGGATTCAAATCTGGTGACCGTGCAGTCCACTCTACTGGTCATCCTCGGCCGATCCAACCATGACTGAATTTCCAACTGAGTGTAATGTGCTGGTGCACCATACCGTTACCACCAAGTGATAATGCATATCCCGTCGGCCTCCAATGATGCAAGTACGTAGGTTTGGAACATTTTCTTGTACGACGATGCTATGAACGTAAGGAATGAGTACTACAAAACAACTTTCCATTTAAATTACTGGAAAAGAAAATGCTCCAACGATTTTCCGACCAGTTCTTCGAGCCCAAGCCATGGGCATTGCTCTTTGTTGAGTACATGTGGCCCTATATCGGCGCAGGCCCGATCTAGTCCAGAAACTCTGCTTATCTGTCCCATGCAAATACAAAATTGCTTCATCATTGAAAGTTGTGGAGTGAATGCTCATGTGATTCAATAACCAACGGTGAGATACATTCCGTTTGTCCGGATCGTTGAGGTTCAAAACTTGAACTTGTAGTGGCCCAAATCTGCGCAAACTTTCCTTCCTTCAAGATCCTGTGAACTGCATATCGGGTGGTGTCACAATGTGCGATTCTGCGTATGCTGAGCATGACCCTTCTGGATAATTCACTGATAATAACAAAGCTGAAGTCATTAGTGACGATGCGAGGCCGCCCAGTTTTCTGGCATTCCACACGCTCCCGATTTTATCAAACCTTTTCATCAGTTTAAATGTATTTGTATTTAACACTTGCCCAATAAACATTTGAAAGCATGCGACAGCAGATGAGTAATAATAACAAAAAGGAGAAAGAATAGTCAGAAGAAGGGATACAAAATCCCATGTGCTGTGTGGGCAAAGAGCCTCCCGGTTGCCCAGGCCGAGGAAGAGGGTTGACTTAAGGGCGCCCCCCTCCAACCTTTGATCTTAAAGACCAGACCCGCAAGGCAGCGGGACAATTCACAAAGAATGTTGACAGCCAAGTGGCTCATTCGCCTTCTTTTTGTTCGGGAGCAGTCCACAGAGAAGCCGGTGGCCAGCCCTCCGTTAGATACTCACCTCCAGTTACAGAAGTGAGTGGTCAGTGACCCTATAGCTGGTCACATTGGCTTTGACACAGCGCCGTACGAGCACTTGTGGTATTGAATGGAGAACCAGGTGACCACCCCAGAACTCCTCACGCTTTGCGACGTTGCCGCTGATTGTCTGCGATTGCTTATTCATTTCGCCTGCAAAACAGACGAGATATATTCGCAGTTACCTCCACAAGGAGGGATTCTCCGATCCGCAACCTGGGGACGCGCCCAATAGCTTACAGCTCCGCCACGAGCATCAGTTTAAACACTCAACGGCCGCTGACGGGCTGCATTCCAGCCTTGATAGTGTTGTATCGTCTAGCAGTTTCTGTAGCGTTTGATCCGCACTTACCAAACAATCAAAGAACGCGCACGCGCTGATCATCAGCCACGTAACGTAATTCAGGTTGGAGATAAGTTGCCGACGGGAGTGTTTTCTCGTGCTTCATTTCTGAGATTGCGACCAACCGATCAGACGACACGCGTCACACCGCTGATCTTGCACCACCGACCAACAGTCAGACTGCTAACCCGTGTTATCTGTATTTCATCTATCGTTTCAACCAGCATGACCCAACCACACTCCGTCCGCATTCACTGCCGAGTAAGCTTCTTGTGGGTTTCGGTCTGGTTTTCTCCGAACTAATGCTAGTCAGCATGCCGCGCTGCGACCGAAGCTATCGATCGTACGACTGGCTCATGTGCTCTCTCTGTGCTCATCTCTCGACGAACGGACTTTGTTGCCGGGCTGCCATGCATGCCGCTAAAGGGTAGAGAATATCCACTGCTTCGCACACCATTGTGCGCCCCCCAAATGCAATTGCGTGTGTGCGCTTACTGTCCAACGCAACTTGCCGATTTGATAGCCGGACAAGCGTTACAGATACTGAAGTTTCGTATTTACGTAGCAAGTGCATTCTTGAAGCGTACGGATTATGGTTAGATTACTGGAATCGGTCCAGACATATCGGACACACTGTAGATTTATCAGTTTTACAGGAATGAGCTGACTTGTTTTGTTCAAGCGATTTCTAGGTCATTGCGACCATTATGCTTTATCCACCGTTGGAATAAAAAGGCCGCGATATTGCGTACCTTCTCTGCTTTTTTTACGCCGGCTTGTAGCCTTTAGGTACCGAGCTTGCCCTGTAATTTGACGGCGCGGGTTCGCGTCCACGTAGGGGCAAGGTGACCCTCGCGGTATCCTTAGCCCACATGCGACCGGTGGTGGTTGCGCGACAGTGAATCGTCGGCACTGCGTATCAACGTGCTACTGATACCTCTGGTTACTTATTTGGATACACTTGCGTCAGCTATAACGAGTTATGCTTTGACGTTTCAATAAAGCTGCTCTTTTGATTGGACTCAAATACCGTTGCTTCAGTTCAGCATTGTGCGATCATTGCTCTTGAAGCCTGGCCGCTTACTCGAGTGGTGGCAATTCGCTCTCCTCATTTTATTTATCCATTTGTAAACTTGAATTTTGATGATGCACGTTTTGTAAAACTACAGTTGATAATGTTTACTGTTGAAAATGTACCCATTTGGGTGCATAACGCTTTTGTTGTATTGATTCGACTCAGAACATCTGACCAAGTAGCGATCTGAATTTGCCGACAATCTAAAGCTTAAGCCATTTTCCCCCGAACCAACTGCGAACTCCGTTCTAGTTTCTAACCTTGAGGTCCATGACATTTGATTCACCGAGCTGGCAGGAATAGCTTTCGAGCTGCCGTGAATCTCGGCGCATTAGCACTCACTGAATCATAGAGGCTCAAGCTGTTGTTTGATACCGAAGTCCCTTTTCATCTCTGCTCTCCATCTGTCAGTGGCTGCCATAGTCTACATAATATCAATCACTGTTTATCCATCAACCGCCTACCCCACCCATGAAGCATGAGTACTCCGCTGTTCATGAAAGGTATAGATTCAGTGATTTTCGAGAAATGTGTTCAAAGCATTCTCTGCCGACGTAAAATCCAGTCCGAATTCCACTGCTTCGTCTCTCACAAGATTGGGTGGTGAGTCACCATTGTATGTTGTGAGTATTCTGAGGGTCTTTGAGACGAGACCGACACCACTATACTTCCCGCCAAAGTCCTCTTAACCCTTTTCACATACGAGAACATCACTTGTCTCTTCGGCCGAACTGAGAGAAGGCTATCGATTAGGATTTTGGAGCACATTCCGCGTACTATGATCATGAACGGTCCCAAGCTGCCGCTAAGCTCCATTGCTCAGCACATCCTAGGCTTGATAAGTGAGTTAGCTTTTCTCGATAGCTGTGCTTTGTGAGTATGTTACACGCGGTCTGCCTGGGAACACATTTCTTTAAGGTACTCACAATTCGCTGGCTTCGTATTTGCCTATGCATATGGTCAGTCCGTTGGGTGGCGGTTTGTTTGTGATAGATTTCCCTTTTCGTTTTTAATCTTAACCTGGTAATAAATGTGTTTGTTAAATTTGCGAGTCTTTTTGCCACTATTTCATGCTCATAATGAAATGTGTTTGTATTGTTGCTTTATTCAGCCTGGTTTTTTGCGGTGTGTTGCAGGGTTCGTTAGTGTAATTAACAACTCCGCCAGTTTGCGGTTCCTTATTGATCTCATTTTACTCAATGACGCTTAACGTATACGTTGATCGAGTAATGAGCTGGGCTACCGTACTCCACGCCAATGGAATACTTGGAGTGCACACGCGGTTTGTTTTGCTTCCCGATTTCCTCCTTTTTCTTTTGTACTGGCTGCATCTCACTGTCGTCTGTCATGTAACTGTCCAATGATAATTGTTTTGTCTGTTTCGTTACAACACTAAAATATTCATTTGTTGCTCCAATCTGTTGTCACATTTAAACAGCATATTTTCGTGCCTGAACTAACGTAAAGTGCATTTTTCGTTTTAAGTGACTGAAATTGCACACTTGCCGGTACCTTTTGCTTCATGACCCACAACTTGTTCGTTGTGTCCATAGGTGCGAGTTCCGGCATCGGTCGATGCACGGCTATCCTGTTTGCTCGGCTGGGTTCACGGTTGGCCCTTGTGGCTCGAGATGAGCAGCGCTTGCAGGAGACTTTGGCGGCCTGTAAGACAGCTGGAAAAGGGCATTTTTCATCCGACGAGGAGCCCTATATATACATAAAAGCCGATCTGCTGGACCCGAAGGATATCGAGATGGTAATGTCGAGAACACTGGCACATTTTTCGCGACTTGACATATTAGTAAGTAACATTTGCCCTCATTCTCGTCAGGATCCAATTGCGCTAGCTTGTTTTTCTTATCACGGTGCTTCTTTCGCTCCTCGTCGCATCAGCACCTCGTTTAATTTTTGTTTATCAAAGACATTTTTGTGCCATCATGGAAAGGGATACAGAGGATCACCGCATCACCATTCTTATCGGTATGCAAGTTACTTCTGGTTGAGAATTGCCTCATCTGATGTGCTGTAGTACGATTTAATTACATGGTCATGAAAAATAAAAGAAAGGGTAACAAGTAATATCAGGTCTCGTTTTTAGTATGCATTAAGAACGAGACCGTAGGAGGATTAAGAGGAGGATAAAGTAAAACAAGTGATGCTACTGTCGAATCTTAGCCATGTCGACAGCTGTCTCCAACCAAACATGTTTATTGAGTTTTGGACCCAAACTCGGTAGCTGGAACTCACCAGCTGTGATGAAGTTCACAGTGAGAGCCTTCACTCTTCCTGACCAAGTTATCGTCTAGCCTGCACGCCTCTCCCATGCACACCCTGGTCCTGCAAACATCCACTGTTACAGGACTCGGTGTGTTGGTTCGCGCTACACAGCCATTGGAGCCTGGTGCTTGAAATAATGGTGATGATCCGTTTACTTTCTCTTTCTGTGCCCTAAACAAGGCGACGAACACGCTCGTTGCTCGCGTGATCTTCCTACCAGATAAGACCGAAACTTCGAACTCTCCGGGTTTCTTTCGCGATTAGACTCTTTACGTCAGTCTACCTTATTAACCAGGTTTCACACCTGTACCTGGTGTGTGTGTGTGTGGGGAGGGTTGAGCAGTGGCAGCATTGTAGCCCCTTCCCTTTAGGACGAAGGTCGTCTCGCATCATCTATAAAGGTGACGGAGATCAGCAACGCCCTCTAGTTTTCGCTTCCCGAATTGTGACCTCGTCTTCTATTCCTCAGACTCCAATAAAGCTGTGTAATCAGTTGGACTTCTGCAATATTTCTAATTGGCCCCCACTAAATTTTAAAACAGAGCTCTGTCACTGTCAATGTTGGAGGCAAGTTTTACATTTGGAGGGTGCAAAGCCCAAGCCGAAACGATTGACAACCGGTGCTGATCTGTCCAGGGCTGCTTATCACTTTTGTGGAATCAAAGATCTGACCGATTCGCAGTGAAAACATTTAACAATCGGCCCTTTTTGATCATCAGTGCTTGCGGCCTATTGCTCACGTCTGGTGGGAACCCCAGGTGAGCAATGCTGAGGTCCACCAGTTAGTTTATGTCAAGAAGCGTGCTGGCGTCTCACTCGTGTGTTTACTGAATCTTACTCGCATGCACTGGCTATGCCATGTCCTCCGTATGCTCGTTTGCCGGCTTCTTCTATGTGGATTATTCGCCGTTGCTACACCACGTTGGGCGAAACCGCGACGTGGCCAGTCTATGAAGTGGCATAGAGGCATGGAGAAATTGACTGAAAGACTTGCTCAAGCCGGTGCCTGCCCTTTTCGTTAATTGGGGGGGGGGCGGGGGAGGGGCGAGATGGCCCACACCAGTGGTCTGAAACCCTACTGGACATGGCGCAGTCTCGCAGTCAATGGCGTTTCTACCTTCGGTTTCTTGCATCTAGCGGTCGATTTTCATTCCGCCCCCATTAGTTTAATGCACCTCTTTGATTCTATTTTCTTTACATTCTTTTTGCATTCAATTTCACTTCCTTGCTGTACTCTGTTTTTATGCTTGCGACTTGAGTCCCCGCAACGTGATTCACCGCACTTCGGTGCCCGGATCATGACTGCTCAAGTGAAATGAAATGTGCTGTTCGCGAAAAATAAACATACTCCCTCGTACGAATGCAGCAACCGCCAACCGTCTTCGTTGCGGCAGCCCACGCGATGAAGGCCACCTAGTTGGAGCTCATTTTTGGACACGAGCGTACTAATCTCTAGCCGGCACTGCAGTATCCGAACTTCTTCCGTTATGAAGTATCTCGTTCAATGGATGATTTAATTACTCTTCCACGAAGTCAGTGCCGATGTTTTTGTGTGTTTGGACAGCAGTGACAAACAGGCGCATGTTGTCTTTGTATGACTTCGTGGCTTTGACCGAGCCAACTAATCCGACGTTGCACGCCCGAGTATTGTTGTCATCTCGTCCATCAGGGCAGCTTCACTTTAGTACTGTGAATACCAGTCTGGGGTTAATTACCCCCAAAGGGACGGAATGCGATTTGACGGGGCTAACGATAAGCACATCGCTCAGTCACAAAACCAAATACTTAACAACATGACCTGTACCAATTCATCTAACTATTTACATGATTTGGAAAATCGCCAAGTAAATGCATGGGTGCTAACACCCTTTACACTGGATGGAGGAATATCTCCAGATGCTTCGCGAAGAAACCGCACTGAAAATGGAATCCGAAAAAGCCACCAACCTTTTACGTGAATAGTGTTGGCCAATCCTTTATATATATATATATATATATATATATATATATATATATATCGTTGGCGGCATCCAGTTCCTGATTTGCCTGTCACTGCGGCCTCCTTAGGACAGCCACAGGACGCTTGCGCCTACAGACAGACTATGGGTGGCTTGCGCTGCACCACCCACAGCTCCATCCGCACACCCCATATCCAGTGTAAACCCGAAGGAATAAGACCGGGAGTCATGTGGGTGGAAGCCACGTTTCATCAACGGAGCCTACCCACACTCCTTCAAAAGCAAACACAAGAACGCTGTAGTTGGGGAATCAATCACACACAAGGCGGTGGCAGGACGGCAGCCCGCTCCACACTGAGTACATGGAACCACTCTTTAATCCTAACACGACCACAAGGACCGTGCACCCCGTCCCCTCCAGCAACGACCAGCTGTCTCCTAGAGCCAGTATGGATGAGGTAGTGGGTAATAGACAGGTAGGCACCTTGTCAACATGCACATCAAGCGCATGCACACCGGGGATATTAAGCAACGGTCAATCACTTGAGAGAAAGCTAACAAAGCAACTACATTGAGTAATACATAAGGAAACGGTGACAAAAATCTTAAGTTAATGAGCATATGAAATAAGTTGTTAACAAAGTATCCGAGATAAGTTCAGGGGGTCAGAAAAGATATTTTAAGGAAATGCCACAAACACGAAAATGTTATCGAAATTAACTACAATTAGATTCAACGACGTGTGCAAGTTTATAGAAGAGAGTACAAGTAGATATTTCTATGAGAAAGAAAAGTATTAGGACAAAATTGCAAACCCACCACCTGAAATAAATAGACTTAGCATGCAAGCACGCGGTTAGTAAATCGAATGCAGCGTGTCTACAAAAGCTGCGCCGATTCTGCCTACGTTCTCTGCAGAACCCGTCGTCGTTTCGGTAGTGGTCGCGAGTGACCTCGCTCATGGCTCACTAGGCCTACTGGACTCAGGCACTCTCGACCGCATGTGCTATAGCACCATGCGCTCGATGTCGATAGAGTACAACCCATCGGTGCTTGCCGCTTCCGCACTTGCCGCTCCTTTTCTGCATGCGAGGTCTTTCTCCCGCACTTCGGCAACTGCCTCCGTGATTAGATCGCGCATGCACGCCGATCAACCGCCTCCGATTCCCATGACCTGCAATCAAGATTAGAATGTGAGTGGCTCACTTTGATCATGTCCTGGTAACGTAATTTTGGTTTCCCCACATGCCGTTTCCCAATACTCAGCTGACCATATAATAGTTGTTTCGGTATCCGCGTCGAATCCATACGGCTCACATGACCCAGCCACCTCAGGTGTCTCAATAAAAGTATGCAGTTCACTGCTTGCATTTCACTTTGTCTCAACACTTCCATGTCAGCAACTCTGTCGCCCCAACTGATGCGCAGAATCCGTCGCAAACAATGTTGATGGAACCGCTCGAGATATCGCACATCCCGCCGGTACATCGTCCAGGTTTCACTGCCGTATAGAAGAATAGACAACATCATGGATTTGTACACCATCAGCTTCGTGTTAATGGTAAGCTGATGGTTGTTCCACACTAGGTACTCAAGCTTCCCGAATGCCGCCGCTGCCTTTGAGACACGGATACGTAGCTCACTGTGTAGCTGCTGGTCAGTCGACATCGCACTCCCAACACTTCAGCACCAGTGCTGATTCGCGGCGATATTGAAGATTGCACATCCAGTGAAGGCTGAAAGTGACAGACAGTTTTGCTTGTGTTGATGGTGAGCCCGAATTTGGCCTCTGTCGAAGCCAGAGAACTAGTCATGTGCTGCAACTCATCCGCGCTGTGTGCAAACAACGCACAGTCGTCCGCACACAGCAACATACGGATAGTTGTCTCACAGACTAGAGTTTTCGTACCGAAACGACGGATGTTCAGCAACCTACCATCAATACGGTGCTCCACACGAACACCGTAAGCACAAGCGGCGTCAAAAGCACAAGACAACATTGCATGAAGATAGATATTAAACAGGGCAGGAGCTAAGACACAGCTTTGCTTCACACCAGAGACAACTGTAAAGTCATCCGAGGTCTCTCCACTCAGCTGCACCCTCGCCCGCAAATCACTGTGCAGACATTCGAATAAACTTACAATTTTACGCGGGCAACGAAACTTACTCAACACCAGCCACAATGCCTCGCTTTTCACGGTATCAAATGCTTTGATGGAATCAACGAAAAGCGAGTACAAAGGCTGGTGTCGTTCTCTGTCCTTCTCCTGCAACTGACTAGCCGCAAACACCATATCGATGTTGCTGCGACCCAGACGGAATCCACATTGCTCTTCTGCCACGTTAGGTTCCACAACCTGGCTGACGAGGCGGTTGAGCGGTATTCAGGCGATCACCTTGCTCGCACAACTCAGCAGGTTGATGCTACGATAATTCGTGTCACATTGCTTGCTTTCTTTGCCCTTGTACAGTGGTAACACAAGGGCATCCTTCAGCTCAGGAGGCACCTCCTCCTCAATCCCTACGCGTTGCACCAAGTGGTGCAGTGCAGTCACCAACGCAA